TCAACCTTGGAACAATGGGAAGATACCATAACACTTTTGCCGGGTACCCTTCATTATATCATTGTCGGAATCACCATCCTTCTTCTTGTATCGTGATTCCCCGCATTGTGGACATTCGTGACAGTTCTCAAATTCTTTCGTGTACAACACACAATCATTCGGACATGCATGAATTTTTTGGTACTCCATACCCATTGGACACAATATCTTCTTAGCATCATAATTGCGGGTTGGCAATGTGTTACCTTCGGGGAGCATGTCACTCAACAACTCAAGCAATTCCGTGAAACTTTTATCGAGTCCACCCATTCTTTGCCTTCACATTGAACAATTTTAGTACCGCAGACAATCGTGTGAACTTAGTACAATTTGTATACAAAGGCTCTTTTGCATCATTGGACAACTTCTCGTACACATGTGTATGTTGGAAGGCATCTTGTCCAAGCTCACGAATCATTTCCTCCAACTGATCATCCATCTCTAGATCAACTTCTTCTTTGTCTTCTACACTTGGCATGTTTAATAGTTCACCATGCCATGTCCACTTTATGTAACTCTTTAGGAAACCATCACAAAGAACATGTTCCCGAATAACTTCGATCGGTAATCTTCGCTCATTCAAGCGAGTTAACACAAGGGCAATAGAATCTTCCATCATTATCCGGAACATTCATCTTAGCAAATTCAAGGAATTGTTCTACTCCACTCTCATATTCATTTGTTGTTCGTCTGTAATTGATCCAACTCCGATCCATTGTTACAAATCTAATTTTCAAAATCAAATTAGCTACGAAACACGAAATAACTACATTATAATGCCTACACGAAATCCAACTCCACTCTCAAAATAACTACATTATAATACAAATCTAATTTTCAAAATCAAAATCACGAAACACATTCAAATGCCTACGAAACACATTCAAATGACTAAACTACTTACAATACATCTCTAAATTAGCTAAAGGCACCCGTGATGTTTCCCTCTCTTGACAGACATTATTACTTACTAGATTCAATACTGTAAACATACAATGGCTAAAGCAAGCACGAAAACTTACCTCTTGAAGACCTACGAGAGGTGGCGGGTGGCGTGACGTGCGGAGCCGGGTGGGGAGAAACGTATCCCGGGCGACGGGCACCGGTAGCGGCAGGCGGCACGAAGCGTTGGCGGGTGGCGTGACGAGCAAATGTGGGTGCGGAGAAACGTACACAGGCGAACGGGGAGCTCGCTATGGGTGAACCGATGAAAAGAAATGGAGCGTAGGGAGAAACGTACTGGGGAGCTCTGCTATGGGGGAAGTGATGAAATGAAATGGAGGGAAGGAGGAGCTTAAAACAGAAGATACTATGTCGGTTGCTCTAACACCCGTCATCAAAGTCACTTTCTATGTCGGTTAAATGTTACCCGACATAGAAAGTTCACTTTCTATGTCGGTTAAATGTTACCCGACATAGAAAGTTAACTTTCTATGTCGGGTAAATCTTAACCGACGTAGAAAGTGAACTTTCTATGTCGGGTAACATTTAACCGACATAGAAAGTGACCTTTCCACTTACTATGTCGGTTAAAACTTACCCGACATAGAAAGTTTATGATTTTATTACAAAAATGCCACTGCGCCACATACTATGACGGGTGGACTACGACCGTGATAAAAACCCGTCATAGAAAGCTATTTTTCCACTAGTGTATAATTAATATAATACAGTAATTATATTATAATAAATGTTATAATATTATATACCATAAATAATTTTATAATAAATTATACCCAAAATAAAATATTATAATATTATGTTATACCGTAAATAATAATTTTATAATAAATATTACTAGATATTATAGAATAAATAATGTACTACATTAAATATTATAATAAATATTATTAGTAAATATTAGGCAATAAATAATATAAAATAATTAATATAATACTATAATAACAGTATAATAAATATTACATAATAAATAATATAGACTAAATAATAAAGTAATAATTTTACCGTAAATAAATTTATAATAAATATTACCATATATTAACTAAATAATATTATTATAAAATTAAAAAATATAATTTTATGGAACCATGGTTGGTTGGTTTATAAGGAAAAAAACGATGAATGTTAAGCAAATTCTCTTAATCTAAGGAGAAAAATACTGGAAATATAACGAGAAAGATGAAAAATATTTGGTGTGACATGAAAATCAAACATGCATTATTTAAATAAAATGAGTCACTTCCCTCCATATATTCAATTAAATTCAATGTACTTTTATTTCAATAATAACAGTCAACTATGCACCAAGAGAAATTGAATGTTTGAGATACATTAAAGTAGTACTAAAATTGTATGACTTTACGCGACTCTACTTTTGACCAATCGTGCAAGACTCATCTCACATTACATTACTTTGCCCTTTCCTCACTTTTCGTCTAATTTGTCACACTCATTCGCTATGTTATAAATATACATGTTGTGTAAAATAGATAAATTTTATGTTGATTGTAATTCAATTTTACATGAATAAAAAACAATTATAAAGATATTATTTATGATTTTGATGATAATAGAGATCATCCGCTTATTAGAAATAATGGACACCAAATACAATATTTTAATTCAAATTTAATTATTTATAAGAAAACGTATTTCTAATAAAAAAAACATCGATAAGGACAATCACATATTTTTATATTAAATAATATAATAAATATTACAAAGTTAAGTAACACAAATAAGAATTTTTTTCCTAAATAATACTTAAAAAAATTATTCATGTACCTTATATTTTATTTATTAATTATACTTATGTTTAGTTCAAAATTTAATTAGAAAATCAAATTTGGACTGGTAAAACGTTCAACTAATATCCAAAATCAATAAGAATTCAATTATCTAGAATCAAATTCTAAATTGATTTAAACTTTTTATGTTTCAAGGTATAAAAAAACCCATTAATTTAAAAAGTTTTTAATTTGAGTGATATTTTATCCACTATTTTTAAATATCTCGTATTATGAATATTGTGGATGAAAAAAATTAATGTTGGGACACTAGACAAAAAGTGATTATCCAAGTTATCCCATAAGCAGGAAGGTTATAAATACTTTGCATCTACAACTCATCAACTTTAAATTTAAGAATTTGGAAAAAATTGAAAATTATTTTTATAAGATATTTTATAACTTTTATAAAATATTGATTTTCTTTATTACATATTATGAATATTTTTTAACACACCATATCTAATTAAAATTATGACCATTTAGAGTTTTAAAGCAAATAAATATGTAATAATTCGTCTTAATAATATTATTATATTAGATGTAAGATCAAGACACTTTAATTTTTGAACCGAATAATTAATAATAAGATTAAATTTATTATATTACTATTATTTACTTAAAAACGTTAATTGAACTAATTAATTTTTCTTTCTATTCCGAAATAGAAGTTTGGTATTAGCTAAAATAGAGCTATTCGCTTTTACGAAAATGCTGCCCAAATCAAATAAAGAAAGAGCTAGTTTGACTATTTCCATTTTAAATGATTTTCACCAAATGATTCAAACGTTGCAGGAACGAGTCAAAATTACTAACATAAATAAAATTCCTTAATTTTTTTTTCTCATACGTTACGTACACGTAACTGGGTAATATATATTTGGTAAATAATATATCTTAATTTTTTTAGTTTAAAATGTATTAAAATATTTTGAAAAAAATATATAAGGCGTTAAGGTTATAAGAATTTATTTGATTTAGTTTTTAAAAGTAGTTGTAGAAATTATATTTAAAAAATTATTTTTAAATTTGTTTTAAATAAAGAAAAACAAATTAGTGACGATAATAAGTCATGACAAAAATTAAAAGTTTAGTTAGACAACATTATTACGACAAAGGTAAATAACATAAGGTAAAAGCTAATGAATATACAAATAATTTTAATGAAAACGGAAAATTAAAAATCGAAAATGTATTTTAAAATTTTAAAAATCATTTTTTTTTAATTATTTTTAAAATCAGTCAACAAATAAATAATAAGTTCCTAATAAAAGTAAAGTTTTAAAAATTTCAATACCTTTTTAAATTGAAAATTATCTTCTAATTTTAAGAAAATACAAAATCTCTCTCTTAAAACTTTAACAAACTCCGTATGAATAAAAAAATTGAGATTAGTATAGATAAATTATACATCTCAACCCAATCCAATTAAAATCACTTGAATTACATTAACTATATTTATGTACTTTTTTTGTTAAATTTGAATTGAATGAACCTAATGAATAATGATTTAGGTTTAATCAATGAGTATAAAAAGTTAAACTAGTTTATAGTTTAAAACTATTATTTAATAGTTTAAAATTATATTTTTCTCGTAACATTGTATTTTGATTATTTTGGTATAATTATGAAATAATTATATTATATAGGTATTACTATTGAATAATATACCGATAGAGACGTAAGGTCATGAAGAATGCTTAGGCAAAGAGATTAGAAGGGGAAGGATAGGTTTTAACATTTATGAACATATTTTTATACTATTAATTTATTTAATATATTATATATATATATATATATATATATATATATTATTCTTTAAATATATCATATTATTTTACTTATTATATCTTATCTCATTTTTTATTTTTCCTTTGTACTAATTTTTTAAATATTTAAATTATAATAATTATTTTTTTATATTATTTCTCTAAATTATATAAATCATAATATGTTATACATTTTTTTCGATAAATGAAATGGCAATCTAAATCAAAAGTTATTAATCTTCCTTAAAAGAAAAACAGCATACTTTAGTCCGAAAGCTTCATATTTACAAATCGAATTAAAAACAAATTCAGTTGTGTTGGGCAAACTATGTTGTTATTAAAAAAACAAAAGATACGAAGTTATGTATGACAAACTAATTGACTATATAAAGTAATAGTAAAAGTATGAAAATTTCCACTGGACCACTGCTTATACATCTGTTTATCAGGGGAAGGTAGGCTTTCCAAACGCGTAAAGAGGCTAAGAAAGAAGTATTTAACAACCAAATAAAGAGAAAATAAAAAGAGAAGTTCAAAGAAAAGGACATCCTTGGCCAACAAACATGAAGGAAACACTTCCCCACTCCATTCAATCTCATCCATCAAAGCCTTGCAATCTAAACACTCACCACACGAAGATACCAATCTTTTAGTCAACAGATCCTTCCTACTGCTTCTCTTACCCAAAATATCACCCAACTCCTTCCCCCTTCCGTCCTTTTCTCTGGGCAGGCACAACATCACACCCTCAATCTTAATGGGAAATCATGTAATGAAAGAGGTCAAGTCAAATATCGTGTGTTATTTAGTCAACATATCATTTTGGAAATTTTGCAAAAGAAAAAAAAAAAATTCACAGGTAACAGGTGTTGACCTTGGTCTTTTTACCAATATTTCAATACAGTCTAAAAGGTAGGGTAGATCGACTTTAAATTTCTGAAGGTGTGTGTATATCTGACAGTGGTTTCAGACTTTCATATTCATCGTTGTACTGGTGGTCAAGGTTAACTCTATCACAAGTATTGTTTTATTGCAACTACAGGACGTATTCCCAAAAACAAAAATACATAGGGAGACTACTTTCTACCTTTGGTACAATGGGATGATCAGAATCCAAGTATAGGTCAAAATCCAATACAAAATATTTCAAAGGTATGATTTGATAATTTCTTATAAATTATGAGAACTAGCTGTTCAATGCTGGTTATAACCAAAAGCCGGAACAAAAAGAACCGGGTAGTCAGTGAGCTAAAATTGCTGGAGACAAAAATACAAGAAAAACAATTCTATTGCAAATAACACCGTAACGTACACAGTTAGGAAACAATGACCTGGGCACATACTGGAATCTCTAACAAGTGCCTATCTCAAGTTAAGATCATTCCCTCCCAGATTAGGGCGAAGGCAAACACGGACTTCATGCTCTTCTGGCCCCACACGATGTTTAGGCACCAGGATCTCAAGCACTGATCCTTGCCCGTCGTAGTATGCTTCTATGTTGGCATCTTCAGGAATTCGGGTTGACAGAGGGATTTCTCGGACAAATTCTCCAGGAGGGCAGTGCTCTAATGATGGATCTGTAAGCTTGAATGTCCTATCATGTCTCTTGATGAAAGGTTTACGGGAGGTGCTCATGCAAGAAACCTTTATGATACCATGAGTCAAATTGTTCCTCCATGAAACTTTCACATTTGGAAGATCTACAAAAGGCAGACTGATGATAATTAAGTAACCTTGTTCATCCTCATAAATAGTTTTTGCAGCAGTAACTGGTCCATAAACATTCTTTATCACCCCGCTGAAGTCATTCAACCAGTGTGGCTCACTTGGGTGCATTTCTATATCTGGAATTCGCTCAGATGGAGGATTAACAACCAAGTAACATTCTTCTTCATTTCCATGAGGGAAAAAGTCCTTCCTCTTTTTGTTGCTGACAGGAGAGAGGTCCAACCCATCACCATTACTGTTAGAAAGATGAGTTGATAAATTCAGGCCAGATCCATTAAGCAGTTTCTTCGAGTGTGCATTAGGACCACTCTTGATTGGGGGAGGTGGTCTCTCAAGCTCAAAGTCCGTGTTGGGAAGATTTCTCCATGAACTGAAATCACTTGCTTCCGGTGGGATTGTGAAATTCAAATCACGCCCAGTGAGTTCTGTCCACCTTTTTCGATCATCCTCATCCAGGGTCATTAGATTGGGTGCGGAAACAACCTCAATGCCATGCACACACTGAGGGTTTGATAGTCCTCTGTAATGCTTTCGCTGCATCCGGTGGGATCGAGCAAAACCCTTATCAGCACTAAAAGGAAACGGGCACTCCCCCTGTCGGGAATGTCCATTCATGTAACTCCTCAGCTGCATCTTACCCAACGCATTCTCTGGCCTCTCCTTGAAAACCCACATGTACATGTTTTCCATGTCATGTTGAACCATGAAAACATCAAGCTTCAGATCAGATTTATCGAACCCTGAAACACCATTGCTGTCCCTGATAATCTTGGCCTTAGACTTTTCATTCAAAGCAGGCTTAAAGTAAAAGCTGAAGAAAAACCAAGCACCCCATATGCTATCTACACGCTTTGCACACTTCCTTCCGGCTTTGGGCAGATTGATAAAACTCTCAGTCTCATACCCTTGAGTGCCAAGACCAACATCAAGAATATCACAAGGCTCAGAAATCCACGACTGTGGAGGTGGGCTGCGCTCGGCGGAGAGGGGCAGGTTAATATCCGGCGGACAAGAGAGTATGATTTGGCGATGCATCTCCAAATCCAGTTCCTCATGAGAAGATGCACTTGAGTCTATTGACAAGAGCGTGGATGGGTGGTGATTCTCCATTGACAAAGAAGCAAGACCCATGCTAGCTCATCTCGTTGATGAGTTTTATTGCTGATTCGTACAATATTGCTATCCCAAAACCAATTCAACAAACCCTTAGAAACTCCTTCATCTTATCAACCCCCACTATATCTCACCTTCATCAAACCCTAGATTTATCAATTGAGTTGAATACAACAGAAAAAAAAAATCAACAAATCCAACCTATTTGAAATAATAATAATTCTTTAATTTTCTCTGTAGATTAATAATAATAATAATAATAAAAGACCTGAACGACAGTAAGAACAGGAACAGAACTAAGTAATTGACTATCTATCTAGTTATCTACATATAACTCAGACTGTGACACAGTGATATTTCATCAATCTCTACAGGAGAGAAAGAGATTTGGAAAACACTATAGCGGAATTATGTTTAACCCTATTCTACGTAACTCCAAAATCTCTCCAAAATCAGGGGAAAAACACTGAATTAAAACCATTAAACCCATAAGAGAGGAAAAAAAAAATGAAAGAGAGACGGAGTAGGATGGAGATCTTCAAGGATGATTACCTTTTGGGATAATCACCAGAGAATCGAGAAGAAGAGGAACCCCCAAAATCGACGATGATGAAATTGGTTGTATCACTGACAACCATGTTGTTCTGTACACATTCTCCTCCGGAATATTTCCCCCTATTTATATTTCCCCAAATGAAAACCTTGATTTTAATTTTTGTTGTTGAGAAAGATGAATGTGGATGGGTGCGAGCGTGAAATGGGAGCGGAGAGAGGAAGAAGAAGAAGAAAGGTAAGCGTTTGATTATAATTTAAAACATCCCATTTTGTTTATGACACCTTCCCATTCTGGTAATAGCAGGAAAAAAGCTAAAAACGAAAACACAGATGAAGTAGGTGATTCTCAAACAAATTTAAGGTTTTAATTTAATAATTTATTCATGTGTTCTTCTGCCATACTTGAAAACACCAAAATAAACTACACTAAACTAAAAAAAATGTGTCATAAATTAAAACGATTATTTTCTTCTTCATCCGTTGATATGTAAGGAAGGATTGTTTTTTACTTTATCCGTTCATATGTGATTTATATGGACTTAGGACGGTTTGTTAATTATAAATAATTTTTATTTTTTAAATGGATCAAAATATTTTGTTAGCTCATAGAATTAGATTAAACTTAGAAAAAATAGCTTATTTAGACATAGTAAATTTAATATAACTTTTTCAGGTGGTCCGTTAGATTGATCATCTGACATTTAAAATTTATATAAAAAAATTACTACAATTTCATTTTATTTTATTTTATTGTATGAACATGTAATATAGTTGACTTAAAAATGTCCCTATAAACTAATAATAAAAATTTAAAGTAATTATTATAAAACTATTAACGTCTTATGTTATTATTATTAACGAATATATATATATATATATATATATATATATATATATATATATTATTTTTAAATATAAATATTTCTTTTTAAAATATAAAACATTGAAAATAAATAAATGTGAGATTATTTAAACAAATATAAAGAATTAAGGAAAAATTATATTTTATTATTGTTTATCATTTTATATTTGAAGAAAATGTAATTAAAAAAAATGGATAAGAAAATATAATATAAATATAAATTATATTATTTTTGGAAATAAAAATATTAAAACAAGCCAATCTCTTTTATATTATATTATATAACAGCGTTACTAAAAATTACTTAGAATAAAAATAAATATTTTATTACAAATCTTATATTAAAATTGTTTAAAATTAAAAAAAGTTATTTCGGATTATTTATATAAATAAATCTTACTAACGCAATCATTTATAAAATTCATAATAAAATATTTATATTATTAATACTTGTATATTTTAATAAGGTTATTAAAAATGGTAAACATTCTATACATGAGATTGTCATAGTTCTCAACTATTTTATTTCAATAAACTATTTTATGACTTTCTTTTACTTGTTTGCATTTTTATTTGTTTCAATAATCTATATTTAAGCAATTTAATTTATTGTTTTTTTCACTTCAATTATTTATTTCAGTTTCAAACAGTTATTTTACAATATTTGTCTACTTCTTTAATTTTATTTATATTTTATATTTGATTTACTAAAACTTAACTCATAGGTATATGGTAAAGAACCTATCATGGAGGATTAAAATGTCTCTAAAAGAAGTGTTTATCTACTTCCACGAAAAATTATGAGATTATGTTTATTGGTGAAATTCACAACTAATAGAGTTAATGAAATTATTTTTTTTAAAAGTGATTTATAATAATATAAGAACAAATTTTCTTTGATAATTGATTTACTATAATTGGAATAATTAATTTTATTATAAATTAGGTTTAAGGATAGTTTTTATTATGGCCTAAATACAAAGACTATATTGAAGATAATTTATTGATTATCAATACAAGATTAATATGTCATATCATTAATTATGTATTCATAAGTTTCTACAATGTTATTTTTTTTATTTTTATTGGATTGCACATTATTGATTGTGTTTACGTTTTACGAGTTGATCCACCATATAAAAGGCCCAACAAATTCAGCCCATTAGGTGTCTTTCTTCTTCAATATGCAGCATTCTGGTTAAATTAGAGTAATGATATTTTTACATCCTCCAAACAACTCCTTCTACAGCTCTTTTTTATTGATACAATAATAATAAAAAGATTTAATAAAAATAAAAATAAAGTATTATTATTATAATATTAAAAGTAGGTTATTTCTAAAAGTTGTATAATTTGAGTTCTCAAAATATATTTTTTATTAAAATGTGTTTGATTTCTTGTTAAATTATATGTTTGTATGTCTAAAATGATATTAGTTGAAAAAACATGTAACCTCTTTATTAGAAAAAAAATTACACTAAAT